GAAACGGTATACGCGGTGTACCGTGAAAAATGAAGGTAAGGCGCGAGACTGGACAAAAAAGTCTTTAGGATTGTGTACTCTGATTTACGACGGCGATTTCTGCATGAGTACAGGCTGGAAGTAAACGTAGACATCGCTTGAAGCGACTGCGTCGTCAAAATAAACGTAACGCCGAAGGAACCGAAGGAAATACTGCGAGCATTTGTCAACGTGACGGCACGAGGAAGGCGCTCTGCCGTCGCGCAGTTAACTATGTAACACGCGTTCTACACGATGACCTTAATATGTCTTTGTAGAACGTTGTAATTCGATTATACCTTCAGAGAGTGGAAATTGCATCCGCTATCTGTTTCCCTATCCCCCCGGACGGAATCGGTGGTTTTGATCCACTTGTTACATCAGCTCCTTCCTCTCTTTTTCCCATCATCCTGATCTACGCGCGACGCAGCAATGTCTTCGTCCCTTACGTAATTTGTCGTTTCACTCGCTGCCCGTTATTAGCCGCGATTCCCGTTAGACTCCGCAGCTCTCACACAGCTCGCTCTTACTTTGACGCATGTCTAACAAAATGTACATTAATGATCGCTGGTTCCTTACGCGGTTTCACCGCAGCGAGATTGCGGCATACACGGCAGCGCGCGGTTCTCCCTTCGCAAGGCGGAAAATTGCCAACTAATTGCCCAATACTGTAGTAGCGTAATGAAATTCGAGATGGATATTCTGTATGGAGAAAGGCGGAGAGAGATAGAGACGAAGATAACGGGCAGAGAGATAGAGAAAGGGGAAAGGGGAGGAGGAGGAGGAGGAGGGAGGATGGGAATACGTCGAACGGTACGACGTGCGTACATTGTTCGTACATTACAAATTACACTTGGTTTACTTTAACCCACGCACACACACACACACACACACACACGTCGCCGAGTTCACTCTATCCGACGGGCGAACATTTTCATAATAGATAAAAATGGCTCGTTCCGCGGCGATGTAAAAATCGTAACGCCATTGTTTAAGTCACTTCCAGCGCGGCTCTCCTAATGTATTTCACATTACCATAAAATCAACTCCATTTGTGGGGGCAGCGCCCGGGGGGTTACGCGACGGGCAGGAAATGTAACGATAATATTTCTCCCGGCGGCATAAAGAAATACAACGAATAGGAGAAGAGTATAACAATACGATCTTCCTATATTTCTGTTACGCGTAATATTACGTTTACGCTAATTAGATTAGAATGCGCGCGCTCGCGTGCTCGCAAATCTCGGAAACGAACTTGCCCCTCACCTCGACTCGCCCGTACGTGGACTTTGCCAGTTCGTTTCGCGAGCACGACGGAATTAAAGTCTTTCTCTCTTTCTCCCTCTCTTCCCCCTAACTCGATCACGAAGCCTTACGCCAAACAACGTCGTATCGAGGGGAGAGCACGGTCTTCCACGAACGACCCCGTAGCATCGCGGGGACACGTGGCTAACGAACCGTGAGAGTAAATGGCAATGTTTAAAGCGCCGGATGCTCGTGGCGGCAACGCCACGTCGCTAGACTGACTGAGACGTCGCGACGCCTTGCGTTTTTCTCGTCCTGAGGAGACATTCTTCCGTCTTGCCCTTCGACGGACTAAGCGCTCTTAGACGTAGCGCTCCGCGGTACCCGTCCCGCTAATTCGATCAAACGACAAATCTCCGTGATGAATCGCAGCGCGGCGAACGCAACGGAGCTCACCGAGAAACATTTTCACAAGAGTACTCGAGAGGATCTCGTCACAGCAGCAGACCGCGCTCTGCCCGAATAACGCGCGTTGTTCGAAGGCGCCTCGTTTCGATCGCCTCAGCTCGTCGTTTTATCGTTTTGACGTTTTATCCACGCGTCATCGTGTAATTAATTCGTAATGAGCGTGTCAAACTGCACACGTTACTGATGATAAACGCGCGGTTGTTGACATGTTATGCGCTGTGACGGCGAACTGTAAATTACGCTCGCCGTGTATAATGCGCATTATACTTCATCAGTGACGGTTGCAGTTTAATCACACTGAGAGAAAAGTATATGATATTTGGAACTATAATGATATAGTAACTGAATTATAGCCCGAAATATCATATTTATAGTAAGTATTATCCTAATATCGGTAATAATTACGATATATACGGCATAGTATAACCAGCCATATAATATTTTTACTAAGAATTACAGTAAGTTAAAGTAAAATGATTGTATGGATACAAATATAAAATATAAAACAAATATAAAATGGTAGGTAAAGTAACTCTTTTATATAGTCAATATTACCAGAATATTTGCTAAATGATGACAGATGTAACTATATGAATATTAAATCTCACTAGATTTGTGAATGAGAAATTACTATATATGTGGTAAAAGTAACTAAACAACTATTTAAGACAATCATTGACTATATATATATTTGTGTTTATTCTACTATATTTTGCAGGTTCGACGAACTAATAAAAATATGATTGACGCCAGAATGAACTATAAAATATAGCGAGATTATAGTTGATTCGACTACAACTATATTTTTCTATCAGTGCACTTTTGGATGCGCATTCTGTGGTGCCGCGGATGGTTTATGCGGCACATCGCGCGCCTTATCTGCGATCAAATTGGCATTCGGCGGGGCATCGAAAGTATCTGTGCAATTATCGGAATGAACGTTCACGGCATACCGGGGGCTTTTCAACAATTTGTTTCTCAGACTAATTTCGCCGAGATAAGTCACGATCATAGACGCGGGAATGCCGCTGGAATTACGCGGTTTGCATTTATTGCGCAGTTGCAGTCTGCTTCGCGCTGGCTTAACCTACTTACATTTAATGCACCTAGTTTGTGGATATTATTATAGTAGACTATATATGCGGCATGTCCGCTCTCATATCCGTAAACATTCATCCGAAACAATAACAAATGCAGCCGTGCGAATACGACCATTCATTAAACCCGCTCTAGGCAATAATGTAGCCGATTAATATTTCATACACGCGCACATATGCACAGGGTTTATTTAATTCCTCCGTTTCCTTTTCGCTACTTTCGTTCTCGCTGGTGAACCGGTTTCAAAGATACCGGAGCGCCAGTCTGATATTTCTCAGTTTCGTTTGTGTTATCCCTCCTCCCCCCCCCCGTTCTCTATCGCGGGGATTCAATAAAATGAATTCAAGCAGCCTTAAGCTTATTACGCGCAACACTCTCGGATATTTCTCAGGAACTTGTTACACACACTTGGAGAGAAATTCCAAACGTTCCTCTCATTACGAGCCTATGATATTTGAATGAAAAGGCACGAGCGGGAGAGAAGGTAAGATTCATAAATTAAATTTGTAACGCATTCCGCGATGAGTGCTTCGCAGTACGTTGCTTATCGTACAGTTTACAGCGTGGGATCTGCTCGCTCCTTCGTTAACGATGGCATGCAATAATAATTACGATATAAAGGCAACCGGCCTGAAGAACTACAGCTCCCAACAAGGACAAATTACTTCAGCTTCAACTCATTCTCCGGAATAACTAACGATTGCCCGGGCCCGTTGCGACGAGCGCGAGTTATTTATCGGCGACACGCGAATCTTTAATAACATCCCGCGCGCAACCGCGAACGGCTGTTTCGTTCGCGACGCACTGAAAGTAATCGGAGCGTGGAATCTCATAAACGGCTGGGTGTAACGCGGATTACGAGATTATCATTGCAGGTGGGAGAAAAAGCGATCGACGCATATAATATCGCGTAATGCGCGCGCCGGTTGCAAATGAAAGCGATAGTCGAGCGCGCTTATCGAGTGAAACGCGCCGCTACGCTACGAATTAACGATTACCGGAATTCAATATCGTCATTATCGTTAATGCGAGAAGCGCTTGCTTTCTTTTCGTAGTACGTTGCGTAAGACCGGCCGACCGACGTCAGTCGATCGACAGATCGATCTATTTATTATTTACGTAATCACGCCGACGGTCAGCACGGTTTACCGTTGAGAAACGTTACCGTCCAGGAAGTAAGATTACGGGAATCGCGCGTTCTCTCTCTCTCTCTCTCTCTCTCTCTCTGTCTCTCTCGTTTCCTCTCTTTCTTTCTGCGAGAGAAACCGTGCAAACTCTCGGTGCGCGAACTTCGCCCGGGGCGAGTACTCGATATTATTTCCTGCAGCAACCTTGACTGTGGAATGATCTACCTTGCATGTCGAGTAAGGAAACTTGACCGGTACGTGAGACGTACACCTGACTTCACCTTACAATACAGCGCTCGCACGTGCATTCGCGCTCTCGACACGTGCGCCACATCGATCGATTAGGCGGTCGCGAGAGGTGATCTGTGTGGCGAGGTGTTTCAGTGAAATTGAAAATCGTATTTCTCCTCTTTCCCTTTCTCTCTGTCTCTCTCCCCCCTCTCTCCCCCTCGATCGATAATTTCGCGTGCGACTCTCGCGTTCAAATGAGGCTTCTGATAAATAATAAGCGCCGCTCTCTCAGACACGCGAGCGAACATTCCTCCGACACACCGCCGGCGCGGTTGAAGCACGAAGATCGAATGATAAGTTTCTCGGTACGGCTACTTTAGAATAGTAGCAGCCGCGATGACTGGTTCAGACACTTTCACATGTCGTCTGGCGACCACATTGTAATATGTTCCGCCTAGTTTCACAGGAAGTAGTAGACACTACTCCGCTTTAACACAGTGCTTATGATTACTGTCGATATCCCTGCGAGAGAGTCAGACAAGTTACGTAAGAAAAGCCAACGGGTTCCAGTTTCACGAGTGTCTGAATTTACGATTCAGCCCTGGTCATACGCTCAAGCAGCAGCAGCAGCAGCAGCAGCAGCAGGAACGGTCGAACGGTGACAAACTCTCGGGAAAACGATTTTCTCCTCGCCTCACTCGGGGCGAGTTGTCGTTTTCGCGCAGGTAGTTGTGAAGCGGCGCGGAAAGAAGGAGGGGAGGAAACTGAGCTGAGACGGAGCTCCCGGTAGGGAGTAGACTACAAAACGCCGTGTTAATAATTTAATATTTATTCTGCTAAGACAGCACAGGTAAAAAAGGGCAACGTAATCATTATATACAAGAGTATCGTTAATATGTCGATCACCGCCGGGCTCTCGTCAATGATGCAGGTCAAAGCTGATCTCGTGACCGCCTCCGAATCCGCCGCCGCCGCCGCCGCCGAAGCCGTGTCCGAAACCGCCGCCGCCGCCGCCGCCACCATGTCCGAAACCACCGCCGCCGCCGCCACCATGTCCGAAACCACCGCCGCCGCCGCCACCGTCACCACCTCCGTGCACCAGCACAGGGTATGACTCTTTAACGATCACCGGGACCTTGACTGGGTATGGGATCTCTTTCTGCACGGGGTAAGGTACTTTAACAGGTACGCTATAGGGTACGGGCACCTTCACGGGCACCTTGACGGGCACCTTGAAGGGCACCGGGACCGGTTTCTCCACGGGGACCGCTACGGTCTTCTCCACCGGAACGGGGTAAGGCTTTGGTACGTGAACCGGCACCGGGTGGTCCACCGGGACCTTCACATGGACCGGTACCGGTACCGGCACGTTCCTCTCGACGGTGTAAGGCACCGGGACCGGCACCGAGACCTCCCTGTGGATCGTGATGCCGGAGATCCGTCCTTCGTCACCGCCGCCGCCGCCGCCGCCGCCGCCGCCACCGCCGCCACCGCCGAAACCGCCGCCAAATCCTCCGCCGAAGCCGCCGAAATCATGTCCGCCAAAGCCGCCGCCGCCGCCGCCGCCGCCGAAACCACCATGGCCCAAACTCAGTTCCAGGCCGCGCTTGCTCTTGGCGTCCTTTGAGTCTACGGCCGCTTTGCCGTCGGACTTGGTCGTCTCGGTGGCGAGTGCCACCGTCGCCACGAGGGCGAGGAGCACGAGGATCTGTCGGGACAAACGTCAGTTAATCTTGTGACCCTTCTCTCGCGGCCAAGGTGCGTCTCGCTGGGCTGTGTTAAATTCAGGACCGGCTTCGCGCTCCAGAGACGAGAGAGAGGGAGGGAGAGAGAGAGAGAGAGAGAGAGAGAGAGAGGGAGGGAGGGAGAGAGAGAGAGAGAGAGAGAGATTTCGCCGGACGCGACTGTGTGGAAAAGGGCTCTCGATCGAGTCCTTAATTTCGAGAAGACACGACAGCCGACCGACGCCGTCCTCCTATCGCGAACGCGACGACGTTGCACTTTACCGAGATGCCTACGAAATTAGCCGTGAATGACGTATCTACGAAGCCCACTCGCCCAACGAGAAACAAAGGGACACCGCGCGACTCTACAACAAGCACTGTGCACGAGACGTCGCGAGTGCCCGCGGAACGCGGCGCGGTAACGTGTCGCGGGGAACACCCGGCGCCTTCGCGAGGCCCTAAGGGATGAAGGACGGAGGCGTGCGCGATGCCTCCTGAAGTGTGTACGTGTATACAAGAGCGCCGCTGCGCCTGAGCGGCTGCCGAGCTCACCTGCGAAGTGCTCATGGTAGCCTTCGGGAGTGCACACTGAAGTTGCATCGCGCCAATCAGCGGCATATATACCGGCACTTTCGCCCGCTGCTCGCTGGCCCACTCCCCGGAAAATCGCGCTCGTCCGCGGAACGGCGGCGGCTTTAAGGTGGACCGATTGTCCCGCGCAAAAGCGTTCGCCGTTAAGCCGTGTTCCCACGGGCGCTACCGGCCCGACGAGGCCGTCATTACCGCCCGGATGCCCGGATACGGACGGGGTACCGCGTAACGCCCGCCGACGTCGCTCCGTTTCGGTCGGCTATCGACCAATCGCTATCCCCGCGCGATCACCGCGCGGGGAAGAGCCCCGCGCTGTGCGATTTCGAGGCTGATCCGGAGCGCTTTCGCGCCGGGTCCTTCCTGGCCGCCTGCCGTTCTTGCTCTTTCTTTCTCTCTCTCTCTCTCTCTCTTTCTCCCTCTCTCTCTCTCTCTCTCTCTCTCTCTCGCGCGCGCGCGTCAGAAGCGTCGCGGGCGTGCCGGAATCGTGTGTTCCTCCTTTTGCTCGCGCCCCGGCAATTTTTGCCGGACGCAACGGCTCTCTCGCGGCTCTTACGCAACGACTCACCGCCGCCGCGCCGTGCGCGCTCGTAAGCAGGGACAATCGAGAAATTCGACGATGCATAGGCGCGATGTCTGGCTACGCCGTATACGTAAGACCGGCGGATGTTAATCTCGCCGGGCCCGTCGCGCTGGAGTTCCGTCGCGCGGGACTCACACGCGACGCGTGTGATCCTCCGAGGAGCACTTGAAACTCGCGGCTTCCCCGCGATATTACAGTCATCATGAAAGTCTCGGAGGAACTTTAGTAAAAAAAAAAAAAAGAGTCATAATAATGAGGAAAATAACGACGACTGTTCATTGGTAACTCGACTGCCAGTCGGCTTTCGCCGCGGGACTTAAGTGGACGGTAATGTGACGAACGACGCTCGTATTAATCCCGACAGTGGAGCGCCCTCGCCTACGACGACGATCTGAAATTTTCAATTCCACAATCTCGACGAGAGCCCGCGCGTACTTTCTTCGAGGAGAACGAGCGTTTCCGCGGAGCGCCCATATCCCGGCTGCCTTGCGAGACGCGTAATTCCTGAATCGATACACTCGATTCGAGCGGCGGCAATTAACGGCAACACGAGTCGAAAGAGACTCTTTGGCGGCCCGCGCGCATAACTCGCGCGCGAAAATTGCGCGCTGCGTAACGGCACTCTCTCTCTCTCTCTCTCTCTCTCTCTTTCGAGAGAGAGAGAGAGAGAGAGAGAGACGATGGGAGGAAGAGAACGGAACTTGCGCGCGCGGACATATCGAAATCTGCCGCAATTAATTCGCGGCAAACTTTACGAGCGCCGTTCGTGCGCGCGCTCACTACGACCACCGTAAATACAATTTAGGTGACAAGATTCATCGCGCGAGACGATGCGTGCGTGCATGCGTGCGTGCGTGCGTGCGTGCGCGCGCGCGAGAAACGCGACGATCAAGCGACTTTCTCCGCGTGTTGTCACGGACATCGCGCTCGATACTCGGTTAATTACGGAATAAAATTCGCAATGCGCGGAGGAAGTTGTTGAAGGCGAATCGGTAAGGTTCGCAAAGGCGATTGTGTCGACGCTCGTGTAATCGGACGACGTGAAAATTTGCCTTTCGACACGTAATAACGACTACTACGCGCGAAGCGGAGTAATTAACGGGCTGTGTGTTGCAGTTTTCCGAAACCTTCCCGCCGAGCTTCCAACCCAAGTGCGCACACGTCGCAATCGATTAATTAATCGAAACTCGCGCAAGAGGAAAGGGAGAAGGAGAGCGCGTACGCGCGTGCGTGTTGAAACTTGGCCGAACGCGTCGTCAATAGCGGCGCGATCTCGTTTTCGAGACACAAGCGACGTTCTTTTTTTTATGTTTTTTTCTCGTCTCCCGTTGAGTCTCCCAATTCTATATGCACACCCGGTTCTCCCCGGGCCTCAGAGATTTGCCTGGCGCTGGCCGACTCTTAATCCGCACGCGCGTAGCGTAGCAACTTTTTATCGCGGTCGCTTTCATAATCAATCCAATGGGCGCTTTGGCATTAAACCGTGACTTTTACTTGTGGCTTTACCTGCGCGATATCTTATTGACAAGTAGGTGAACCAATGTGACTTCATTCCAGGTAAACGCCGATGACGTCTTTGCAAAAGGCCCCACTTGCGCGCGTGCGCGCGCGCGCGCACGATATTTTGTAACGCTCGAAAATAATTGCCACACACGTGCCAACGCAATTGCGCGGCGTTCCCGCGCGGTGAAACACGCCGGCCGCGTGTAATTACAGGCCAGATGAAGCGACTCGCGCGCGCTAGATAAATACGCGCATGCCGCGCTTCGTATCGAAAAGTTCCGACGCGCTGCTGAGGAGTATTTGCGTTATCGGCCAATGCGGCGGCGGTGGCGGCGGCATCCCTCGCTCATTCGAACCCAGCGCGAGATTCCCTCGTCCAGATCGAGCTCATTAGGAAGTCATTAGGAGCGCCGTTTACTCGGGCTCAATTTTTGCCGGACGCGCAACTCTTTGAGCTGTCGCGGCTGGAATGCGCTCGCGCTCGCGCTCGCGATCATCGAGCGGCCGCGAATACGAGACGTGTGATGTGGTAATCTTCATTTCCCGTCGGGGTTAATTATTAAAATTACAGCCCACTTGGCACGTCCACCAACGCCGCGCGCGCTTGCTTGCAGCCATGTCGTTGTTAATTGAGAATTAGCCTCCTCTCTTTTTCTCCTCAGGCTCGCTCTGTCGTGATTTATTATTAACAGACCCGACCTTCTCGGCTCGGCGATTGCGAGACGCGCTCGCTCGCTCGCGTGAGCGTTTCGATATCGCGCGACGATCGAGGCTATCGCGCATCGGATAAGCCGGTGTAAGGTGTAAGTCGCGCTCGAAGAGCGCGCGCTCGTAACGCGACGCGTGCCGCCTCTCCACACTTTGGCTCGATAGACAAAAATAAAAGACGAACGAACGAGTAAGAGAGAGTCGGTCTCTTATTCAACCGTTTCTTCAGCGACTCGATAAAACATTTTATATCCACGTCTCCCCTCAAGTGAGCCTACTTATGATCTCATTTGTAAGCGTCCGTAACTTACGCAATGACTTCTTTTCTTTTTTTTCTCTTCCTCGTCGTATTGCTCCTTTTATCGCCGCGGCGCGGCCGGCGCTCTTTTCCAATCGTCAGCGTTGCCCGCTTCTGTTTCTGACAATTAAGCCCGCTTATCGCGTTTCCGAGAATGATACTCGTGAACGGACGCGGCGCACGATTCGGCAGTTAAAGCGGGCGCAAAAAATCGCGTTACTTCGTGGGCCGGTGGATTCGCGTAGAATTGGCCGCGCGTACGCTCGCTCGCGCCGGATTCGCGTGTGCTTTCCTTGCGCAATACGGGCGTAGTAAAGTTATCGGGCGAGGAAATCTAATCGGAAAAAGGCACATCGAACGCGGGTGAATATGAAAATGCATGAGCTCCCAGTCTCCGGCGGACGCGCGACGGACAGAAGCGAGCATTCGTGTGTACAGCACAGTGCGCCAAGAGACATGAAAATCTTGAGACCGTCTAGAACAGGAGAGAGAGAGAGAGAGAGAGAGAGAGAGGGAGAGAGAGAGAATTGGGAAGCGCGGTCTTTCATCTGCCGCGCGCGGTCGATGCTCTCAAGGCGCAAATTGCGTTTGTATTCGAAAGACGTGAGGGTGTCGCGGGCGCAGTGGAAAGGGCGTAACTAGAAAACGGCTTGATAAACACCTTGAGAGCGAGAATATCTATCCATATATTCATGAGAGCCGACTCCAAAGCCTTTCCTATTATTGCATAAGGTTACGCTCGCGGTCGGTGAAGCAGAAATGCAGACTACGCGAAAATCCCGACGACGTCTGCCGACGCGTCGTCGTGGTGGTGATGGTGGATGCTCGCGAGAATCCAGCCAGTGTACTTGGATGGCCGCATTTGCGCGCCATCATCCGCCACCCTCTGTGGTACATAAAGATCAGGCTACTCGAACTTTAAGGCGGAAAAAGGGGAGAGAGAAATTTTTCAACGCAGACAAGAGTCGCTAATTGAAAGTTACGTTACGTCACGGCGACTTGGCGCGAAATCAACTTGCATTTACGAGCGTCTCGAAAGAAGAGACAAGAGAGAGAGAGAGAGAGAGAGAGAGAGAGAGAGAGAGAGGAAGAGAGTAAACAGCGCATTGGTTAAATTAAATTAACGACGGCCGCTTCTAAATGAACTTTTCGAGGAAAGGTACACCAGACGCGGACATTTGAGTTGACATTAGACGCGTGCGGGGGATAAATTTGCATACGGCGTGTTCGCATGCGTGAGATCGACAGCGATTTTCGAAAGAATCGCGGCCTCGCGAAAATACCTTCTCCGCTTGCGAGAGATTAGCGGCGCAGGAAGCGTGCGATGTGTCAAAATTTACATAATTGCGGCCTCATAAATATCGAGAGATTGGTAGAAAGTGCACGATCGCCACCTTCGATATAGAGCCACATATCGTGTCTACGTATTATATCCGGCAATAAACATAATCGGCCGGCTTGTACTTCACGAAGTTCCGTGTACGTAACTGTTTACGAGGTCACCGCGCGTAATCGGTCGCACACAACGGAAAGGAAAGGAAGGAAGAGGAAAAGGGGGAGAAAAAAGTGAAGAAAACAAGAAGAAGAGAAAGACGAGCGGACCGCGAAAAAGTTTTCACCGCGATAGATTTAATCTGATGGCGGCCTATGGCGCGCGCGCGCGCGCGCGCGAGAGAGAGAGAGAGAGAGAGTGTGTGTGTGTGTGTGTGTGTGTGTGTGTGGACGGCCGACAGCTTCCTGATATTATTCCAACCTGCAGGAAGACTTTCGAGCAAATAACTTCGCAATTAAAATCGCGAGGCGGGCGCACGCGCAAACGTAATTCAGCAACATAATAACAATTCGCGCGGAGGTGCTTATGACACAATAAGCACACAGAGAAACTCAACATGGGAAAGAAAAGGCAAAGGCAGGGGGAAAAGAAGTAGCGCCGGTGTGAGGACGTATTATCGCGGGTATCGTGACTCGGCACGAGCAGGAGTCCTCGCAAGAGACACTCGTTGACTTTCGCGGCGGCGCGGGTACCGATTCATCGATATCTAAATATGCATCGAGCACGTTGAGATAACCGCGTGCGAGTGAACGCGACTGCTGGCTGATTACGTTGAAGCGATTAAGCGAGGAACGTATCTCGAGCGCGACGAGCGGCAGACGTCGCCGTACGTTGCGGAGACACACGGCGGCGCGGCGACTTTGACGCCTCTAATTGAACTTCACGGCGCGTAGACTTTAATGACAATCGATTCGCGCGTCCGTCGTCGCCGTCGCCTGATAAAATCAGCGGACGCGCGGCGAGCGGTCGCGCGCTTAGCGCAGAGGACGACCGCGGAAAATTGGCCATCTCGGCACACTAACGCGCGTCATTAGTCCGAAATTCGATGAATGCGATTGCGGCCCCGGCAATTAACGTACAGCCGTCGCGCACGCTCGCGCAATCGGCGATGGACGTTACGCACAAATGACGTTTTACGATATCGATCTTTCGATTATCATTCGACGCTCGTCGAGCACGCTCTTCCGCGCTCGGGAGGCGGTGCTCGCTCGCTCGCGCGGGAGAGCACCTCTTGAGCGCAAATTCTACGGTGGCTACGGTCAGCCACGGAAGCGACACTCAAATCGTTCGCTATCGAGAAACGCTCTCAGACACACACAGTAAAAGTTCTCCGAGTGAAACCGCCAGCCGATCGAGCCCGGCGACAGGCTCGAAATGGCCGGCCGATTGTCGGATTTCAGGATCGCGTCCGGCTAGGCGACGACGCGAGCAGATTGTGGTCTCTGTGAATCACTATAAATTCATCGAAAACAATTTAATCCTCCGGTACAGGTCAAGTGGAAACTATCGCATATATCAGCCAGGCGATTTTCGCCGCGGATCGATCGACGCTCAATCGAGAGAGAGAGAGAGAGAGAGAGAGAGAGAGAGAGAGAGAGAGAGAGAGAGAGAGAGAGAGAGACAGAGAGAGAGAGAGAGAGAGAGAGAGAGAGGAGGGGGAGAGGTGGGCGAGCGACTAGCCTCTCGAAACACGCTCTCCTATCCGGCTAGGAGTCAAATCAATATTTTCAAATTCAAATATGGAAATCCAAATTCAGATGTATGGAAATTTATTCGCGCCGATAACCCTGATAAACCATGGATACGCGAGTATTCTAATACCCTTCGTACCGGCGGCCGAGATCGTGGTACAAAGTCATTCCGAGATTAACTGCACCCGCGGGAGGGCCACGTGTGATAAACCAAAAATCGTGCCGCCGTATATAACGCCGGGGGAAACCGGGTTTCCACGTTCGCAGCGGAAACCATTTCCGGCGCGCGGGAATTTTATCCGGTCGCGTTAACGAGTTCCAACAACTTCCTATTAAAGCGCCGGGTGCCGGGCGCCGGGCAGCGTAGCGTCTTCAAATCATCCTTTTTAATTTCACGCCGGTTGACGGCCGGCTATCCGCCTCTCGGCGACAAATGTCGCGGCGCACGAAACTGTAGAGGAGAGAGGAGAGATAACACGTCGGTTGAACATGCCATGAGCATGGAGATGAGGCGGGTATATTAAATTCGAAGGAGTCGGAGCTGAATGCGAATGTTCCAACGCATTCATATATCCGGGCCGACGAGGGCGGCGAGGAAAAAGCGACTAAGGAAGAGAGCGCTTTCGTGTCGTCGAGAAATTCCGATTCTTCGTCTCGCGGGTTAATTCGGCTCTTAATATTGATGAAGCTCCCGGCGACCGCGGAAACATAGAAAAGCACTGACAAGCCGAAACCGAAAGAAACGACGCGAAACCGCATTATTTCCCACCGTCGTCCCAGCGCGTCGATTCAATTTACAATTAAAAGCTCTGCGGCGAGACGCAGGCGGAGTCTTGAAACGCGTTGACCGAATGTGTGAAATTTCTTATTTCGTATTCGTCGAATTTATCGCCTAAGCGGAGAATCCCAATCAGCGCAAGAATTTTCCTCGTCCACGAGAGGATTGAGACGATTCAGCAGATAAATACAAATATATCCAGCTGTGCGACGCGACGTCGTCGTAAGCGATTTCAAAAGACATTCTTTTTAAAAGCACGCTTTTGAAAGTTACATTAGCCGAGAGAGAGAGAGAGAGAGAGAGAGAGAGAGAGAGAGAGAGAGAGAGAGAGAGAGAGAGAGAGATCAACGTTAATGTTGATCCAAACGATTTTCATCAGCGCAGACTCTCGCCGGCTCGACACGCGCGAGGCGAAATATCACGCGAGGCGAATCGAAGAGATTGAATTTCCCCGTCGTCCCGTTGCGAGAATCCGGACAGAGTCAAAAATGCGACGAGACAGTCAGGAAAGGAACAAGGTGAAAATGGACGCGGGGACAAAGGCGGCGGACGTGGAAAAGAGCGCCGCCCACAACGTCGCTGTCTTCCTTTCCTCCCGTTGACTTCCTACCCGCCGACAATTTCATCGGCACGCTCGAGTTGCCCGGCGGACTGAGCGTTGCGTCCCCTATAAAAGCGAGGGTAGACCATGGCAGTACCAGTGTGCTCACTGCCGACCAACATGAACAGCACCGACAAGCTGAAAGTGAGTAGCGCCCGTAAGACAGCCGCTCGAATCACCGCTCGTAGAGGCGCGAGCCGCATTCGGCAGCGCGTCGTCGCACACGCGGTCTCTCATTTCCAAGCCACGGCTCGTTTCCCGCTAGACACGTAATGAATAGCCTCCGAGGTAAATTTTGACTCTCGCGCGGTTTTGTTACACGTTACGCACGCTGCGGTCGAGATTATTAAACGTTCTCCTCGTTGCCCCGGGCGATCGCCGATCGCCGGATAACGTTACATTTCGATCATGCCTCAGCAATCACACCTGGCCACATCGGTCGGCCGATAAATCGATCCAATTTACTCGGGGATTTATTCGCAGTGACTTTTGCGAGACTCGTGTTTTTGCGCGCCGGGGATTTGCGGAAATACCGGAGACCGAAGCTCTTGGAATGGAGATTTCTCCGCCGAATTAAAGTCACGAGCTGAAAGCGGCGTTATTGACGATAATTGTTCATTGATATTGATGACAATTGTTCAGCCAAGGGCTTCAATTATCTTGTCCTACAAATTTCACAGCACCGGTCTCTCTCTCTCTCTCTCTCTCTCTCTCTCTCTCTCGGGTACCGCCTTCGTGGTTCTCGATACAACGCGCCACGATACGAAACCTCTCATCAGAGGCTCTCGATTCCGCGAAAAGTTCGCGAGGCGCGAAGCGGGTTGTGCAACGAGCCGGTGCGCGCGTTACGTGTACCGTTTCGCGTTCGGTGAAACCCTACGATCCTCCGACTTATCGCGTACAACCGACGTCGATACACACGTCGATCACAATCACCGTGTGTTCTCCCTTCCTCCCGGCAGGTGATACTCCTGTGCGGCCTGGTGTTATCGGTCGCAGCCGAGGAGGCGAAGAAGGCCGAGTCCAGCGCCCAGCCCAAGGATGAGAAGTCGAAGCGCGGACTGGAGCTGAGCTTGGGCGATCACGGCGGCTTCGGGGGCGGCTTCGGGGGCGGCTTCGGGGGCGGCCACGGATTTGGGGGTGGCGGCGGCGGCGGCGGCCACGGATTCGGGGGTGGCGGCGGCGGCGGCGGCTTCGGCGGCGGCGAGATAATCTCCACCGATCACGTCAAGGCGGTGACGGTGACGAAGCACGTGCCGGTGCCGCACCCGTACCCGGTGGAGGTCACCAAGCACGTACCCTACCCGGTGAAGGTGCCGATCAAAGTGCCGGTCGAGCGCCCGTACCCGGTTCATGTCCCGCAACCATACCCGGTCGAGGTGACGAAGCACGTAACCTATCCGGTGGAGAAGCCGGTGCCCTACCCGGTGAAGGTACCCATCAAGGTGCCCGTCAAAGTGCCCTACCCGGTGAAGGTGCCGGTGAAGGTGCCGGTGGAGGTAACGAAACACGTGCCCTATCCCGTGAAGGTACCGGTGGTCGTGAAGGAACCGTACCCGGTGATCGTTAAACACGAGGAGCACAGTTTCGGCGGCGGCGGCGGCGGCGGGTTCGGCGGTGGACACGACTTCGGCGGCGGTGACTTCGGCGGTGGACACGACTTCGGCGGATTCGGACACCACTGAGAGGCACGGCGAGTCGAGCGCGGTAGGCAACGGGGATCCCGGCGTCTTTCCCATTTTTTTTTTGTCTGACGGTGAACGACTCGCGGCGTGATGCGAAGGGCTCGTTCCGTAGGAACGCGACCGGTCGTCGAGGGATCGAGAGTGGCGACCGGCGGAACGGCCGTGTCGTTCTAGTAGGAGTCTACGTGGTGCACCGATATTGTATTCATTGTGATCCTGTCCTCGAGTTGTACTATACACCCCGTAAATGTAAAGACGAATAAAGTAATTTTCCTTTTTGTACGTAACTTGATTGCTTACGAAACACGAGGGAGCTGAGGGAGAGGAGGAGAGGCGATGGGCGCATCTAGCGGAGGCAGAGAGTCGCGTTTAGACCGACTACGCGCGTTATGCGCGATTATGAGGAATTGCGAGGGGAGGGGGGAACTTTCACCGTCGAGATATTACATGAGTTGCGCTAAGAGAGGTACACTTGTTTCACCGTAAGACGTATGTGTGCCACTAGAAAAACAAGCGTCACTCGCGTAGTGGTAGAGGATCGTAAAAGGTAAACGGCACCGTGCTAAGTCCACCACCGGCGACGACGACGATCACGAGGCGGAGGAGGAGAAGCACCGACGGGAGGGAAAGCGACGCGAAATGTCAGAGTGTGTGGGCAAAAATCGCACACGCGCGCGCGCGCCTCTCTCTTCGGCCGGCCGCAGTCAGCGGATTAATCTCGCGACTTACTTTCGACACACGCATCATCACGCGCTACCGTGCGCGACGTATGCGCGCCTTGCGCCACGCTGAAGGATTCGGCCCGCCTTCTCTTTTTTTTCCCTTTTTTCCTTTTTTGCTTCTTCGTTCGCTGTCGCAGGATCGCATTCGCAAGGCGCAAGGATCTCGTTTCTCGAGAGCACGCGCGCCGCCGCGCCGGCAGCTGCGCAAAAGTCGAAGGGGGTCGTTGTTGCTAAACGCCACCGTCGCCGTCGCCGTCGCCGTCGCCGTCGCCGCGTGCGGGCGATTTCGAAACTCACGCCGCTTATGCGTTGCGTTTGCGACACACGTTCAGCCCGATACACTCGTACCCTTATTTACGGACGGACACGCATAATCGCGGATCACACTCGGCTCGCGCGGCTGGCGAGCGCGATATTAGCCCGGAGTGGTCGCGATTTGTGAAATACCGTTTTCGCCGATTTTGCGAACGCCCGAGTATACGCTTTCAATGCTTTCAACGCACGCGCTCTCGAGGTCGACCACAGTTTGTCACATCGTAGAAAAAAAGAAAAAAAAGAGAGAGAGAAAAAAACTAGCCCCTTTCACGTTTCATTGCATCGCGCTTAAAATCATAATTTAATCGCGAGTGTGTATTTACGTGTTCCTTGAGAGACATTTCAGAAACGACAGCTAGCGGGGCAGCAGGAGGGGGGTGGTGGTGGAGGAAAGAGACCAGCGCGCGCGAGTTACGTTATGCGGAACGGTAAATCAACCGCGGGAGCGCGGTCAAGCCGCGGCGTTTTGCATTTTTTCAGCCTGTCCTGATCCGATCGTTAATCTAACTAGACGGTTCTTAACGACAGGCAGTCATCGCGCGGGAATTAATGGACTTCCTCCCGCATTCTTCGGCTGCCGTTGCCGCGCGTAAGAGTGTCTCACGCACGCGGAACAAGCTCCTCGTCGCCGTCGCCTGCCGCGCTCCGCTCTCGCTTTCGTTCGCGGATTTCGCAGCGGATCGAACTTTCCCGCGGTGCGATACCGCGCGCGCTCGCGCGACGTTCGCCGCGCTACAATGTGTAAGCCGCATTGCAGCCGCGGCTAATAGGACACAAACCTAATTGCCTCTCACGGTTATAGAACCCGCGCGCCTCGGTCGGCTGCGAGTTCCCCGGCTGCATGCATCTTAGGTATCATTATGCGCGATCCATTTTGCGGCGGTATCATTCCTCCGCCGGCTATAGGATGTCTCGTTAATACGCGGTTACCGTGTAAACCGAGAGCCGCATTCTCGTCATCGTTGTCGTCGTCGTCGTCGTCGGCTCGTTCCTCCAACGCGTCGCTCTATTCCAACCTCAACGTGACCAATGTCCCGATCGTGTACGATCGGATAGCCGCGTCGTTTCGCCACACCCTGGACTCATTTCCGCATGCTGCTGAGTCCGCTTCCGCCGCGCATGCTACACGTTACTTACGTGCGCGCGGCTAGAAATTGAAAGCGGCAGGTGGACGAGCGAGCGAGCGAGCGAGCGATCTTAAAATCCAGGAAAGAGTCGGCTGTGCAGGAACTGCAGGGAGACCACCGTCACGCTCGCTCGTTACGTATGTATGCAACGAGAGGAGTGCATCGCCCGCACGCCCGATGCGATTCGGCAGAAATGCAGGAAGTGGCGAGAAGGGGTCACGACCTTTCGCTTCGTTGGGCGTAGGACGACGGATGACTTTCGGGTGCCGGCGTCGGCGTGCACTAATCAATTGACACTTCGCTCGGCTGAAAAGCTGAAAAGTAACTCGCAGCAATGCGACGATCGTAGGCAATGGTCGTTTCGATCGATCATCTCGCGACTTCGTCGCTGATTAATAAGTGATTTCATCGATCGAGATGAAATTATCTGTAATCACACGTACGACGATTGAGCAATCCGGAGTGTTGACTCCGGGCTGGTAATTTTAGCCGGTTAAGATCTTAATCGATCAATGTCCGATCACCGCTCTCTCGATCGACCGGCGAGTTTCACGCAGACCGGCGGACACAGCCGGTTGAGTTTACACGATTCTTGGCCCCCGAACGAAATTCGGTTCTAAGCGTCGGACAGTTTACGGAAAACTTCCTCCGAGAACAAAACGTCCCTCCGGTTTGCTCGTCTTCTTCGCGCTCGTTCAATCGGTGCCTCTTCTCGGCGCGTAATAAATGAACGCGTCAAGTTGTATCTTTCCAGAGCGCGGTGCATTTCTTGTGGAAATATGCAACATGGTGTAACTACTTTGTGTACCAAGACGACATGTTACGCCCGCCTGTGGACCTCATCAGCGCCGGATCGCGAGGGAGATCGATTGTTTCTGGAGAAAGACGCTCGATCGGAACGTGGAAACCGACGAGTATGAGATTCTGTAAGGCAGGCAGACGTTGAGAAGATTTCAGTCGAGACTCTTCTCGCCTGAAATTACCTTTTCGCGATCGCGGGGTGAACGTGGGACGAGTTGCACGCTGATCGGGGCCGATCGGCCGATGAGCAAATCCCGTTATCCAACACGCTGCGTGTCAGGTAATCATACTTAATGGACTAGGAAGTCCGCGCGAAGGAGAGAGAGAGAGAGAGAGAGAGAGAGAGAGAGAGAGAGATTTCTTCCATCGGTCATGAAACGTACGCACGAAACGCTCGCGCGTAATCAAGCAAAGTGCGCGCGTTACGTTTATAAACATTCAGGATAGTCAATGCGAGTTATATAATAAACGTATACACGCACACGTGCATACGTAAGTGTGCGCACGATGACGACGCTGTTTCACTTAACCGTGACGCAATCCATCTCGACAAGCGGCTGACCATTCAAGAAAAGCGCGCGATCTTCGCTTCTCCGTTCTGCGAGAACGTAATAGCTGCAATAATAATAATAATAGTAACAACAATCGTAAAGAGCACGTATACGCGGGATAAGTGCACGGTCTCGATCGAGCGATCCCGCTATCTTCATTTGAACTTTCGGAATATCCTGCGCGCCTCGCGAAAGCGCGATCTCTCCCGCACGCATGCGTGCGTCGATTAACACAATCAATCATCTCGCCCGCCGCTGTCGCGCCGCGCTCCTTCCTTTTTTCTTGCGAACCGCGCGATCTCGCGTCATCGCGAGATCGATTAAAGCGACACGCGAGCGCCCGAGTCTAGACCAGACGTTCCGTCTGCTGACGATTGCGCAAGCGAGACGAAGTGCGCTCATCGCGCATTACGATTTGAACAATCACGAGCGAACTCGACGCGAGTCCGGGAGCTCGAAAAAGACGCGTAATGAGCGTTCCGAGACGACGTAGCGTCGCTTCCGAATGATCCGACAACGTTGTGAGACGTTGTCGGATAATTCAGAACGCGTGCCTGAAGCTCATCGCGCTGGAAAAGCGCGGCTGGATGCGATTTCCAATTGCGATTTCCCTCGCGAGAGTTTGCGCGCGCGAGCGATTTTCCTTTCCCCTGCCCCTCCTGCCGTTTCCTTTTCCGCCGCGGAAGGTTCGTTTCCCAGCGCGAACGTGCCGTTAATAATCTTCAGCCGGCAATTTTATCGCGCCCAATTAGAGAAATCTCGAGGGCGGAGGAGCGACGCCCGGGCCAGCCGGGGTGATTGAAAACGACGGTTGCCGCGCTGTTTCGCGCGGTCTGAACCGATGTGAACCTAGCAAACAACTTGATAAAAAAAAAAAGAAACTTCTCAATACGGTCGACTGTACTTCGTTTGTACCACTTTTTGTTTCGTTTGTATCTCAAAGAATAAAAAGATAGGGAGAGGGGGAGAATAGCCAGCAAGCAAGTATAAGATATCCGAAAACGGCCAACGCCGTCCGAAAGAGAATCGTTTGTATCCGTTTGTACTTCCCTTCAAATCGTTTGTACTTCAAAGAAACCGGAGGTACAGGATCTTTAAAAAAACGTCCAAGAGGTACTTTCGCCAATTTTTGAAATATAGCAAAACGGCCAACGCCATTCGACAGAGAATCGTTCGTACCCGTTTATACCTCTCTTCAAATCGTTTGTACTTCAAAGGGACCGGAAGTACGAAAGTAACCTTCCGATATGTTTTGAAGATCCTGTACTTCCGGTTCCTTTGAGGTACAAACGATTCTCTTTCGAATGGCGTTGGCCGTTTCGCGATATCTTGTACTTATTGCAACAATACTTGCTGGCTATTTTCCCCCTCCCCCTATCTTTTTACCCTCCGAGGTACAAACGAAACAAAAAATGGTACAAACAGGTACAAACAATGTACAATCGAATCGTATTGCGAATTTTTTTTTTTTTATCAAGTTGCTTGGCAGGTTCACATCGGTCGCGACTGACCCTGACTGTTCGTCTTTGTGGAAAATACGTTGCGTGACGAGGCGAGAACATCGAGCGATGACGCGGGAATATCGCCGTGACGCGGGGGGAGACGTCGATGAGTCTTTCGATCTCAGGCGAATTTCGAGATACAATTTATCGCGCGTTTTAACGGCGAGATGACGGAAGCCGCGAGGATACGCGGTCCTCGAAAATCCGGGAAAGCACGGCGGAAAAGCCGCTTTCCTCCGCGTAACTTCCGTTCGGTCTCTCGCGGGATGGGGGAAAACGCACGACGACTGCACAAACGTTATCCGACACATTCCGCCGGGGAGCAACGCAAGAGGAGCAGCGGAGCTTTTTCTACCGCATCACGTACGTTGACGGTCCTCGGTTGTTTGCGCGTGGCATGATCGGCCGCGCAACGTTAATATTGATATTGTCAACAACGTAGCTGGAAGTTCACGTTCTATCGACGAGCCCGCGCCCGCCGCGCGGTGGAAGTTCAGGACCTCGAAAAAAACTTCCGGCAAATTAATCGGAGAAGCGGTAAGAAAGCGGGAGCGCCGAATGCAGCGTGACTTTCATAACGGCCGGAGGGAAAAACGGGACGGCGATCCAATCAGGTAAGAGCGCTAATCGTATTTCTGAAAGGTAGAGAAATGCAGCGCGAAGAAAGGGGTGCCCGGGAGAGGCGATTAATTTTAATACAGCTGCTTGATAATATTAATCTCACGAGGAGATTAGATCCTTCTTTGTAACAAATATCCTTTGTAATAAAAAAAGTTGTGCAGTTAAAAAATTGCACGACTCTCTCTCCCTCTCCCCCCCCCTCTCTCTCTCTCTCGCGCGCGCGCGCGAGCACATCGCACGCTCCGCCGAGTAGAATATATTCGTTCACGTGTCACATTCTATTTTCCTCATTGCCACAGGTGGTCTTTTATCTGAATATTTATCTGGCAGTAAACATCGTATCTCAATGTACTTAATGTCGGATACGTGTGTGTATGCATATATGTACGTGTATGTATGAAATACAAATGCGTGAAATTTTCTGCCGCGCCTCGCACGCACAGTATGCAAATTCCGTGCTCGCGGAATTGCAATCTGAAATTCATTAACACGAGGGAGATCTGTGCTCGAGACTCTTATGCCGCGCAGCGTCTGCGATACGTCGCGCGATTTTTCCTCCTTCTCGCGATAAGTGCGCACGCGACACGGTAATCGATCATAGCTAAATTGCGCGTTAATTCCTACACGTGCGAAATGGCAATAAATCCGGAGTTGGCTGAGCGACCGAGTAAATTGCCACGCTATCGCGCCGAAAAACGGAGGTAATAACCCTAAAGAATGAAAAGGGTGGGCCATAATAGATTGGTACAATTGGACGATGCTAATTGGCTCGCATTTCAAGGTAATCTACGATATTTTCGCATCCTCCTACCAAAGCCCCGGCGATTAAATCTGCCGAACCGAACTCGTGACTCTCGCGTGAATTCCGCGATCGCTCGACGCATCGCACACAAACAGCTTCGCTACGTTATGCTCATTAAAATTCATTCGCTCTGTTGAGTTTATTCATTTGCTAAAATCCACTTGCCTAAATAGAGACAACGCCGGAGGTTTCTATCTGTATTGATTCTCGGGAAGAGAGATTAATTAATAAAGCCGCGTAATAACAAAATTCATCTCGACGGCGGTCTCGTTTTTTTGTTTTTTTTTTCTTGAACAAATCCATGTAATTAAGTCGATTACACGACGCTCGCGAGCATCGTGCGTTTTGTCGCAAAGTATAACGGAGTGACTTTGGAACGTTCGGATGCTGCGGTATATTTTTCACCATTGAAATCTCGATAGCACCGGAATCGATTTCTGGGAAAAGCTAGTGGAAGCCCGATTCCCCGTGACAGGGCAGTTAATACGAGTCCGAAATAAAATTTCAAAGTTGAAAAATTTCACACCATATTCACCGTATCAGTCGCAAAAATGCTCCTTTTCACGGTATTCATCTGCACTTGTCTATTTACTTTTCTTCGTTGTCGCAGGTGTTTCTTATCTGAATATTTATTCGATAGTAAATATCATATGTCTCAATGACAACGAATTAACTTAATTATAGATATGTGTATGTACTTCTCATGTAAATGCTGCGCGAGTAACGTGTTATACGTCAGCAGTAGTCGATATTGTATAAAGAAATGCAATACTTCTTCAAATACCGATGCACGTTAATACGCGCGGATCGATTCGTTCCATCCATTAGTGTGAGCCTTCGACGGTTGCCGCTTATTCGAGCGAACAGTAAGCGTAAAACATTTGTCTCGTGTGTATTTTTATCGGCGATGAACATTTTCGAAATTTCTGTCGAATTAAAAAAATCCGCTGGATGGATTGACAATCCACGTGCGCACTGTTTTCCGTGAGAATCTCAGCTTCTCGCTTTCTTTTTCTTAGACTTTCCTCTTGATTTGACCGACCGCTGGCCGGTACGATAAATCGCGCGGTACCGCGGTGTGTGCGTGTCGATTTCTTAATTTGTGTTGAAACACGAGATAAATGCTTAATCCGATATGTCAGACACACCTACCGGATTTAGCATGAACCGCAAGCCGCAAGCTGCAGTGACAATCTGACCGACTTGAATTTCAAACGGCAGAAAGGTCGCGATGTCTGGAAGCTCCGCTCTGTCCGCATGGCTCTTTCTAATTGCTCTGGCAACAATAACACATCGGTCCGCGGGACAGCCGCAGCAGCTGATAGGTGAGTAAAACCGCGGCACAAGTAGACTGGAATAATTCAACGAGGCTGTTACCTTAATTCCTCTTGCGTAATATCGGGATGTAAATTCGTGGAATTCCCATAAGGCGTGCGCGAGCGCGCAAAAAGAAACGCGGTTAAATCCATCGTTAAGGTATAACCGCTGCTCTCCATTGTCCGGCGAAGTTATAAATTTAACTTTCATCGGAAGTGGAACGTCCGACAAACTGCGTATTACGCCGACGGAGCCGAAGGATCAAAACCCGTTTTATCGGCGTTCAAGAGCCCGTCGATAGCAAAACGGCACCCGACCTTTCTCCGTGCGATAGTCGCCGCCTTTTTCCCTCCTTTTCTCGTTTTTCCAAATCTCCCGCTCTTGAATCGTTCATCACGCCGATCTCGCCGCGATGCGAATGAAGCGCGCGACAATTTCCGCGTTTAACGATCACACGCGCGCGCCCGCGAGAATAAGCCGGAAAGACGAGCAATTTTTCACAAAAGTCACAGGAAGACGCACGTGGAGCGCGTGTATTTTCTTTTCTTTTTTCGAGCTTTCGCAGTGGGACAGGGGAGATGGGGGGGGGCGGGGATGGGGAGAATAGAAATCGGAGAAGGACCGTTCGCGGCAAGCTGTATTTAACGGGACGCACACTGATCTACTACATTGTTTTCCTCGTTTGCTGCGGCTCTACGCTATCGCGCTAAGATTAGATAAGAGACGCGCCGCAGATGCAACGAACGAGAGGCGGTGGAATTCGAATCCTACGAAGGTCCTACGTCGCGTGATCTTCCTTAGCCGTGTACGCGCACGGTCTCGCCCGGTGATATCACCGCGCGGCACGTCCGGCACGTTGTTCGCGGTGCAGTAACTGCGATTACGCATTATCCTCGACTCTGTACACTTCCTCGATCGTGCGCAGGATCGCTTATGCATCACTACCGGCGGCGACGGCGACGGCGGCGGCGGCGGCGACGATGGTGGCGGCGTAAAAGTGCATCGACTTTCGCGCGGTCTACTTACGGGCCGCCTCACGTGAGCGCGCGATTTTCCCCCGCGAGGCTTTTTGTTCCTCGTCTAGGATATAAACGCGAAGGAAATTGCGCCGTCACGACTCGGTTTTCCCGTAACGTTAGCCACTTTGCCGTGTAATGTTGCACTCGGGCGGAATAGCGCGGTTTAGAATTACATCGCGATGCGCGATGATATGCAGATTAATACGTTGCCGTGCGCGCGCACCTTATCCCCGCCGGTTCGCGAAACAACGGAAAGGAAGATCGCAACGGAAGGCGAGCTCGAGAGGTTTAATTAAACGACGTCACTCCTCGCGCGCGACGAGACAAGCGCGCTTGCACGCTGGTTGAAAAGAATGCGCGCGATGCTCGGGCGAGACAGACCGGGGGCGAGGGTGAGAGACAGAGAGAGAGAGAGAGACAGAGAGAGAGGGGGAGAGAGAGGGGGAGAGAGAGGCGTGCTTGCTCCAAAAGCACTGAGATCGATAAAGCGCCATGGAGGGAGAGAGCGAGGGCCATGATCTCCCGTTATTGAATCTACGTACGCGAAATGGCGCGCTATCTTGCTAATCGGGTAACATAAGATTCGATGGTGCGGCAAATCGTATATTATATCTGCGATTCGATCTCGCCTTTCATATAATCGCGTAAAATCTCACGCAGCGCGCGTGCGCACGTTACACAACGTATTCTTTCGTAAACGGCTGCTTTACGCCGCGGAAAAATAGAGTAAAAATTGAGAGCCGAAGCCCTCCCCCTCTCCCCCAATCCAATCCGATAAGAAGAGGCGGAGATCGCTCGTTGGATAAGCGAACGCGAGGAGAAACGAGTACGAGGTGCAACAATCGCGCACGTGTACAATGTTGCATCTCTTTGTTTACGCATCGAACGAATCGCGCGATTTTTCACCGAGCGAGCCGCGCCGCGTCGGTGAAAAATCGGGCCGATCCCAGTCCGGGACTTGCGACATCTCGCGATCACTCCCCGCTCCAAGTGCGATAATAAAAAAGAAGAGGAGAAAAGAGAACTGCGTTTCCGCTCGATGTTTCTTAAATGCGACGGGCTGGCGGATAGCTGGAAGGTGGTGACCGTTTCTAATTACCTCATCGCACTCGCCAGGAAAGCGATTAAAATCGTACACGCGAGGACGTTAACGATCGCATACACACACAGTTTATTTCTGCGCGATGTTGGTCAATATAGCCGTTTCCGCGCCAGCAGCTTTAAAAATTGCAATTATACGACCTGAATATGCCTGTGCCTTAGCATGCAGCCAGCCGGATAGCTTCACGGTCCAAATAACCGAAAACGAGAATGTTGTTGTCTACGGCACCGAATTATTAATCAGGTACAACCCACGCGCCGGGATACACCTCTTCCCCGGGGCAGACGCAGTGAACGTTGTCTTCGATGAATCCAGCATAGAATTCAAAGGTGATTATCAGCGCGTTGAAAAATTAATTAACCGCTGAATCGAGCACGCGGGCCAGAGGCGCGCGTTCGATTGAATTTAATTCGCCGAATTGATTTATCCGCCTCATTTTCCGCGCGGGCACGAGTCGCCCCGCGAAAATATTCGCGAAACATCCGCGCGCGCGCGTTCCCGATTAACGACCGTTATTAACGGACGAGCTACGATCGGCCACGAGTGAGCGAACACACAAAAAGGTTTCTCGTTTAATCACGGCGAAAAGACTAAAGCTTCCGATAGAAGATTGATGGCGCAACGGAAATTAATATCGTTGCGTCCACGTGAGAACAAATTGTCGGTATAATGCAGTCGTCGCGATCAATCGCCGCGTCAGTTAACTCGATATCAATCTTCGACCGGCGCGCGCGTGTCACATTTTGTCACTCTATCGTTTTTATTTATTATCACGCCGGCAGCCGGGCCAGGACGATCACGGAGAATTACATCTTTCAGGATATATGTCGCCGGAGTATCCGGTGGCCCTACCGTTCGGATCACCCGAGAGGCTTTCTTGGAACAGCAGCGGTATCATTTTGGGTACCGGCACACTCCGAGTAAGTTTAACGCCCCATAATCGCGTAAGTAACGACCAGAAGAAAATCGAGCGCGACTATTCGCTTTGTAAGATAATTATAGCCCCCGCCCGTCCAATAATTATTATCCTCGGCTTTCCGTCGTTACAGAAACTGAGCAGAGAGGATTATATAGTCCGGGAATGTCGTTTATTTTTGCCGAAGAATATCAAAAGCAGGTAAGAGACTGAGAGAAATGGAGAAGGAGGGGAGGGGGGAGGGGAGGGTAGAGCGTGAGAAAGGATGGAGCGGAGGCTGAGAGGACCGCAGAGTTCCATTACGAAAACGGAAGATATTTCCCCGGGGCAAGATTTGCAAAATTAGTTTGTCGTCGTGTTGCGTAAAATAACGACGATTTAAAAAATGTAGAGCGCAAAAGACGAGACCCGAAAGATTGAATTGCGTTGAAGCGTTAACTCGTATTGCGGATGTATAAACGGCAGGTGTGGAGCTGCCCCTTACAGCGAATTATTTGTACAAAAAATGGACGAGATAACGGCGAAATTCACGATTCATCATGAAATGAATGGCACTTTGTAGCGTTAATCTGCCGTTCGCCGTGAAAGACGAGATCGCAAATCACGCTCTCCGCTGCATCGATGAGTACCTTTGCAAGGAACTGGGACTGATAGAGACAAGGAAATTAGAAGATATCAATAAAGACCACAGATCTGCATCTTACGCTGACGCTTCTTACAATGTCCCACAACCAGATTGCATCATGTCGAATAACGTAATCTGTTTACGCCTTTCAACCGCGCGAGTTACGCTTCGCACTTAATAATCTATGAATTTTCTTTCGCAGTTTGATATAAACGAGCCCATCAATCTTGCCGTGAAAAATATCGTAGCTTATATCGAACGCAACAATCATTCCAAGGTTGTGATCCCTAATGTGGACGAATCACACGAACTAGGACCGTTCGGTATGAAGTGCTACTTTCAAGCAATCAACGGAACTTTCGAGTGAGTGTTATTATTTTTGAATAATTTTCGACAATTGCATTTTCTCCACAATGATACTCGGTCGAAGGACCTGTGTGTGAACGAGATTGTTAACTTTTCAGAGATCTCTCGACCCTGGAGAGAACGGGGAATGCACAAGTATCTAGTATAGGAAAGGTACACGTTGTAATACTTGCCTTTGGGCTTTCCACGGCTAACTTTAGCTACGATTATTACAAGGTAAAATTCAGCGCGACACGGTAACGATCTAAAGATTCAGCTTTGTGACAATACCGATTACGTCGAAAATATCGTTTAATTAATTCTACATTGATATTTTTGTTGATATTTTAAGATTAAATACGGCGTCATGAGACTAAACGGCAAGGTTACGGGTTCCATTGATGGACTAGCGCTAACACTAAGTGTAGTCATCGACTACGACAAAGAATGTCCTATAATGTTGGAATACATTAAAGTGACAAAGGTTGGCGACATTAAGATAAAAATGACTGGCTTAGGATTGATTAACAGTGTAACATCGAAGATACTGAGTTGGCTGACGAATATGTGGCGAAAAAATATCGTGAGCCTTGTGGAAGTTAATGTGAAAAATGCTATTAACAAACATCTACGCGATTATATCTGCACCGAATTTATAAGCACACATAATGAGACAAGTTGAGATAATCTCATAGATGCCATATACTATTATAATGTAAAAAAAATGTAATAAACACGATTGAATATGTTGCGTGACATGTGTACGTCCCGAAACACGAAAATTGAAATAAAAATTTGTGAGCATTTCTTTTCTATTTTTATAACTGAAACATGAATATTGTCTGTACATCAGCGATAATTTTCTTTCTACAAAATGAGAAAAATTTGTGATAATAAAATAAATATTTTTTATATTACTTGTACATACGGTATTTCAAGAATGATTACAATTAATATTAATAATGTTAGTTAAAGTTAGTTGGAATTAAATAACATTTAGACTAAAGTGGTTAAGTGTCATTTGTTGTATCGGTAATTTCATTCGCCGTTTCAACGGTAGCAGCTTCGGTGGGTGAGGAAGAGGGAGGACAATTAGTTTCTGTCATAATGTCTGTGCTATCTGTAGATTCTGTATTGGGAGGAATATCTTCATCCTGCACTTTTTCTGTCACGCTTACGTCATTATTGGAACTAACAGTTGTAGAGTTATCTTGAGTAGTAGTATTATTGCTATCGTTGTTACCATCACTAACATTCGCGTTCGTCATACGTTTCAATGCTAAATATTCCTCCACCGATCCCGTTGGAGCTTTCTCGGGTACACTAGTTGTCTGATTCTCTGGCGTCTTAGAAGATAAATTCATGTTTGGCGATTTGTTCAGCTTGGATAACCTCTGACGTTCTCTCAAACGTTTCCGAATCTCGGATTGAATCTTCGATTCTTTTATTACATTTTGCACATCGTCAGTTTGATAATAACGCGACGCCCAAGTTTCTGATGATTCCGCTGATGTTTGCGCATTCGGTGCAGCCTGAGACACGGATTGTTGACTCTGCTGGGCTGGAGTGATAATTTCATCTTGACTTTTATCATCGTCATCATCACAGTTGTCCATATCCATAACATCGCAATAATCGTCTAAATCTATTATCTCATCCGAGTCTGCCGATCTTTCTTTCTCAATTTTACTTTCTTCCGCGATCTTCTTTTTCGCACTGTCCTCTTCTTCAGCGGTAACTTTCGTTTCGTCGGAAGTTGAATTTGTTCTCGACTGTTCGTTAATATCCTCGTTTCTTGTGTCAATCGGTTGTTCTGTAGTCTCGATATTTTTAACTCGTTTGTATTTAGGAGAGCCCTGAATGGTATTAGAGATAGAAGAAGCAAGTTGTGATTTCGCGCGTAATCTTCTTTTTGACTTCTTTCGCTTGTCCGCAACGTTATCTGCAGAAATAGATATAGACAAGGTATTGTTCTTTATATCTACATTTCTCTCAGATATTTTCAATCTCGTTTCGCTTCTATTTAAATCAGCTCTAGCTACAGTATCTGTATTATTTTGTAATACAATTGCTTCTTGAGTTTCCTTCTTGTCTTTTAAGTTTTGTACAAGTTGCGAATTTTTCGCTTCTTCATTAGCATTGCATACTCCTCCTGATTCCTCTGGTTTTGTTACACGTTTATTCTTCTGATTTATAGTTGTTCTTTCATTATTTTCTATGTCACTCTCGCTAGATAACTCAACTACTGGGGTAGGTTGTACTACCAAGACAACATCTTCATCTTCACCGATACCATTTTGCTTAGCATTGATAATTCTTTCTAGTTGCTTGCGACAGTTCTCTTTCGCCATTGCATCATCTTGTTGTATCTTTGTATTATTATTTGTCGTTTGACTGTTATTTGTTTGTGACGAATTAGTGGATGGAATTATATCTTCTTCTTTTCGTATCAAAGCTCTTATTGCACGTGCCCGCATCTCCAGTTCCAATAAATCTAACAAACTTTCTCCTTCCTTTTCTTTATCTTTACCATCTTCCTTTTTTATTTTAACGTCCCTAAGTTTATCATTATCATTTTTATTATTAAATTTCCCTTTGATGTTAGACTTATCTATATCACTTATGTTACTGATTTGTGCTTTCCCTTTAATTTTTATTTTATTTCTCTTTGCTTTTTTCTTTCCTTCATCTTCCTTTTTACATACATCATCATCCGTCAACCATTCTTCTGTATCAGAAATTATTTCTAAAGAAGGTCCTATGGGGAGAGAAATTAGAAATAGCATTGCCATTAATGCCAAATGTATGGGGACTTTGTATATATAATATTCAATATTTACATACCTGAATTTTCAGATTCATTTGTGTCTGAAGACTCTAACATAGGTTTGTCATTCAATATAGATAATATTCGAGTTTTGGACATTCCGCTTAATTCACTCACACACCACTGTTGCAATTCATTCAAATCTATTTGCTATAGACAAATAATGTGTGACTTGTATTTCTTATATTTGGAATATTTTTCTTAGACAGAAACTATTATCAATTTAAATATTTTATGCTTATACTTACTTTCAAAATTTGAGGTAACATCATACGTATTTTTTCTGGTTTAACAGACGTAAAAAGTTGATGAGCTAATTCCTTACGGTTAGATAGATATTCTTTAATTGGTTTCAAATCTTTTGGATCCACTTCTTCATCATCTGATGATGAAGATGTACAAGAAGAAAAACTACTATATTCCTAGAAATAAGGTTACTTATGAACCATCATGCTGCGAGTAAGAATGTTACTTTAAAATACTTTAAATTTAAGATAAATTGTGCTCCTAATATTCTCATTACTATTATGTTTACCTCACTCCTACGTGTATCTTTCTTAGTTTTAGACATGTCAATTTAATATTTCTTAATATAAATATTTCTTTCTATATTACTGTATCCACTTAGATATTGTAAAAATAAATAAATTAAAATAGAAATTTTTCCCCATATATATATATTCCTTTTATCTGAAAATATGCAAAGTTTATTGATAAATTTGTAATTTGTTATATTTTTTAAGTCTATAATAAGGAAAGTACATGTTCATGTTGTGAAAGAGACAAAAACCCAATCACACATAATAATATAATCTATAAATTATTTACCTCAGCATTACCACAGTATTTAAATGCGCAGAATTACTTGAACAGCTTTTATTTATGATTAGAGAAAGCAACAAATCTGTTGACTTCATACAACGTAAGCAATTATTACTTCATTTTGAACAGGATAATTCTCATCACAAAATATCCTATGTATTCTACCTTTAACAATCTAACCTATCATCGAGAATTATACCACCGATGATTCAATTCAATTCAATAAATGGCCTGGGCAAAATAGGGTACTGCTCCAACACCACTCTCAGGTGTAGACAGATGAAATTCTGTAAGGCTATTTTCCAGTAGTATGAAGGTAAAAGAAAAACAGGGACAACGCGTACACAGTCCCAACGATCAAAAAATATGCATAATTACAAAAACCATATCCAATCGCCACGAAGGCGAATAAAAGACTACCATCGATGATTATACCAGAGAAGAACCTGAGAGCGGCTAACACGGCGTTTTCGGCGACACCGACTTTCCGCACTAGGAAAAGACGCCATCTGCATCCATTTTGAGAGGGGAACTACGATGCTACACTTTCAGGTCTCGGCGGTAAAACCTGCATGTGGTGGCAGTCCGTGCTACATCCATAATAACGTACTTGACAAGCACGGTCTCGCACATTATTACGCGTTTGTAACATGAATTAACATGTTAACATGCGCAAAAAAAATAAGAATTGACATTGTGTATAATTAATATCATGAAAATCCATACAAAGTGTCCGTTAATTAGCTGCCAACCGGAAGTGTGAAGGTAGATTAGGTTGAGACAAACATAAAGTCCCATATGGTTTTGCGAGATTCGCAATAATTATCGAGTTATTAATGACAGAAATTTGAGGAGTGGGAGCGCGCCGACATAGATAATTGGAGAAGCATTGCAGCTGCTTAGGGCAGCGATCATGAATCTTTTCCCTAGCGTGAACTAGTGAAAAGTGAAAGAATTCTGTGAATTAGTTGTTCAAAAACCTATTTTAGAAATTCGGTAAGATCGAACAATTAATCGAACCGCAGAATCATATTTTTTTGAACATGATATAAATATCTTTTATATAACTATAACAAGTCCGTTTCGAGGCAACGCTAGGCGAATGTCAATTTTCTTGTTTTCAGGAATTCATTCTTTCTCCTAGCTCGGACAATATTACATATATATTTAGAATCAGAATTAAAGATAAAGGTGTGAAGTTTTACAAAACAAGGAAACATTTTGAAAATTTCATAACGATACTCCCACGATGGGAGAGGCGATAAAATGATTTTATTTACGAAAACTTCTCACAAAGGGTGAAAAGATATTTAATTATCTTTTAACATATCGAATATCTCACAATGAGAGAAAACTTTTTACATAATTGAAAATTCTTCTTATTCGAACTCTTACGATAGGAGAGGTGAAAGTTGTTCCTTTTAGAATGAATATATTCATCAGAAGGACTATTTATTAATTCTTTTCTTAATTTCAGATCTTAATTCAAATCTAGAACTTGACCAAGACATAGAAAGATTCTATTCATCCCTAATTCCTGGATTCCTAGACTATCCAAACTGAGTCTGAGAGACTTCTCTTATAGCTGAACCCATCATAGAATTCAAGAGGATCTACTATTTCATCGGATGATATCAAGACATTAAAATTCAGATAAATATTAATTTTTTCTATAATTATAACAGTAACTCTATCTTGTTTTGTTTTGGTTTAATACTGTTCCTTCTTATTGAATCCTTTTTTTATTTTTTCAATTTTAAAGAATTAAAAGAATTAAAATTTTTCTAAAAGCGTGAACCAGAGAGATTTAATTTAAAACATTAGTAAAAAATAAAAAATTATATATGAATTTGTGAAAATTGAAACATTTCACACGACAATTGAATCGTTCAACATGGTAGTTGCGTTCTGGATAATTCCTAATGAATATCAAAGAAATCAAAATGATCAAAATAATAATGTTCGTGTAGTGCGAAGGATATTACGTGACACGCAAAATCCGTTTGATATGATATCCAGAGAAAACGTTTCAAAATATGTACAGGTAATATAAATCTTATATACCGACGAGATATTATAAAGGCTGTTGGCCTTACGGGATATAGCATACCAGAAAAATTTCGCTGTGCACTAGCGCCTTCTTAAGAATATCGTGGCCGGAATATGAAACATAGCTCGAAATAAACATGGATGGTAACAGATATGGAATAATGAAAAAAAGATATCGGAAGATATCAAAAAATTATTAATACGGAAAACAGGCCGAATGTGTATGTGTGTACATGTATGTCTCCTAGGATTGCGAGACGTGAGAAAATTCAGAATAATTTTTATTTTAAATATATATACACGTTGGCACTCCTTAAGTTAATAATTCGAAGTTGAAATAATACTAAAATTGCGATCGGAAACACATGTACGGAATGTTTCACAAATTCCTCGTTCCGAGGAATTCATGAAGACATGGAACGGTTTAAGATAAATATAAAATTCTCATATCATTTTGCGATGTTCGCAGTAACCGAGCTATTAATTACAGAAATGTAACGAATGAGCACGCGCGGAGATGATATCGAAAAAGCATCGAAGCCGCTCGAGCCAAGCGCGGCCCACATAATCAAACGACTGTTGCCAGCGTGCAAGGAAAAGAAGAAGAAGGACAACTCGCCGCTACTCGTGTTTTATCTCATCGCTTTTGCGTTAACATACTGGTCATGAAGCTACTTTTTTTTTCTACAGTAGGACGACGACGACGGCAACGACAAGAAGCAGCCGGTTGTAAAAGGCGTGAGGCCGCGGGGCCAAGTCGACGGCGCGAGGCGGCATAGCGACGGCTACGTGGACGCGACCCCGTGGCCGTCATCGTTATCGTTGTCGTCATCGTCGTCGTCGTCGTCGTCGTCGTCGTTGTTGTAAAAATTGTTCTGCGACACTCTGTATGCAGGTTATCTCCTAACAATTGTTACAGAGCTCGTGGAGACATAGAGCGGGTTAGCAGCCATTCGGGTCACAGCGTGGCCTAGTCAATTCAGCAAATAATGCTGGTGACATGCGCCGAGAGACGTGGCAGCCGCGAGATAAAACATGAATAGCGGCGTGTTATCTTTCCCTTCATTTCGCACCGGCAATAGTTGCTAGATGTATTATCATGAGCGTAGCTAAAGCAATCGGTATTATCATTGCTCTTCAATTACCTTCGGGCCCCTTCGGGCTCCTATAGTTGATACGAAAATTTACCCAGGGCTGTCAGTCTTTATATTATCTCGTCGGTGGCAGTGACTTACGAACAACATTTTGAGATTTCTCCAGTATCTGTCAGATGCCACTAGGTGGATGTGCTGATGTTCGTGTCATATAACTTTCATTGTTGACAATTGTTTGTCAACAAGATGACATTAATCGTATGAAACTATCAAACACCTAATTGCAGTAAGTACAATTGTATGAAAATAAATTTGTGTCCCACCATAAGAATATATATTATCTTGTACGATTAATCAAAAAATTTATCTTTTGCACAGGCATTTAATGACAGATAACCAATTCCTCAAGTGAAAGGACCACTTCTCAGGTTCACACATATCTTTATGTTATGTGCGAATAAATGAATGCTTATTAAACTTTAATACTTTAGGCATGAGGCTAACTCTCTGTTGAGTGATTATAATTTGTGATATTGTCTAAACCTAATGTCAATTTGGATTCTGCGTAGCCTTGCATAAGTTTAAAAGAGAAAAATGTTGAACCGTTTTAAGTCAGTATTAATGAGTGCTGTAGGTGCAAGTGAGCTTGGCCTACAATATCCTAATGATTCAGACAATGATGTGATGACAGATTATATTAATTCCAACTATGTTGTGGAAGTGGAAAATAAGCCTTATAGCCGCCCAAGTTTTCTAGGCTTGACAACTGAAGAAACACAGGTGCGACCTGATTCATATGAAAAACATATTGAATTAATTTATAATGTTCCATACAGTGAACTGTATTATACCGATATAACTATAATTGTAATTGCTTAAAGTATATTAAAATATTGATTGTATTTGCATAGGTGAGTGCAGATCACAGAGTGAGGCCTATCATAGTTCCAAGAGATCTCAGCCGTTTACCATGGTGTGCTGGTTACGCAGAATGTATAAATGCTGGAAAAAGTACTTGGAATGAGGATCAAGCTTCTGCTACTCGTGGAGATCTAAAATTGTCAGATGCTAACGTTACACTGCCTTATGTCATATTCTCAATGTTTGACGGCCATGCAGGGTATCAAGTTGCTCTTACAGCAAGGTTACACCTACATAGAATAATTCTTGTATGTGTCATATCTTAGAGAGAAAAAGAAAATTGCTATCTAATCATACACAGAGTATTTATCAGTGAACTATCTGAAAGCAGGAAAGGTTACTGGCTATACCAGGAAACATGTTACTAAACGAAGACGAGGATGAATTAATAAAGGGCAGAGATCTAGTTACAGGTGCTATAGAATTAGCATACAGACAAATGGATCAGATGGTGGAGATGCAGGCACAAAGTGGCGGTGGTGGATGTACAGCTATTACAATTTTATTTCTTAATGGGAGGTTGTATGCTGCAGGAGCTGGTGATTCCAGGTTATATTATAACTTATGTGTAACATTGCGCCGATAAATTTGGATAAAAATTAGACATATTGAGTAACATATATAATCGTCTTTGAATGATCACAGAGCTGTGTTAGTTTTGGGGGAAGATCAACGTGCTCTTACCCGAGATCATACCCCGGATTCCGAGTCTAACCGTGTCAGAGCTTTGGGCTTTCTAAGGAGCAACGAATTGCTTAAAGGTCACTTCACTCCACTGGAGTTTAGAAAGAGACCATTGCAAAAAGAGTTGGGGTCTATGGTATTATATAGAGAACCATATATGACAGGTTGGGCGTACAAAACTCTAACGTATCCTGACTTAAAATTACCACTCATTTCCGGACATGGAAAGAGGGTAAACCATCTCTAATTATCCAATAACCATCTAATCTATTAAATCTACTTGATCTATCAGATAGATAAATTCTTTTTAGTCAGAAACTCTATGACATTCTTTAGATCAAATTAGTCCTTTTGCGACAGCATGACTGAGAAATCTCTTTCAACATGCAGAGCAGAGTAATGGGAACAATAGGCGTGACTAGGGGTTTTGGAGATCATGGCCTGAAAGCAGCCAACACCGGTGTCCATATTAAGCCGTTCCTATCGTCTCAACCTGAGGTGCAGTCTTTGGACTTGGATAGTTGTAATCTCACCGAAAGAGATTGCATTATTGTCGCTACAGATGGACTTTGGGATGTAGTATCGGACAAAGCAGCGGCAGCTATACTTAGGAAGACACTTGCACCTGATACTCCATCGTTAGAATACAGGTATTGACGCGAGAAGAGAATATATAAATGGGAATTAAACTTCATCTGAAGTAAGAGATACAAAAGAACGTACGTTTATTTTTTTTATGCGTAGACTCACAATGGGTGCTCAAGAGTTAGTACAAGCCGCGAGAGGTCGTTTAATCGGCAGGGTATGGATGGGAAAACCTGAAAATCCTAATGAAACCGACGAAAAATTCTCACCGATAGCATCAGTGGACGACATAAGCGTGTTGGTTGTACCTTTATATCCCTATTTATGTGAACACAAGCAGTGGTTGAAGACTACGCAGCAAGAACGAAGATACGCTACCGAACCCCTACACATATCGACCAACAATCCCTCATAATAAAACGTTATAACTATCGATCGTATAGTCCATTATGAAATAGAAACACAATTTTACTACTTGATATGCAACTATTAATGAATTACATTTACCTGCATTATCATAATAATTCATCACAGATCTGTGACTTCTTATTATTTAGTTTTAAAATATTTAGCAACGTCTATTTCGTAGTTTTCTCTTCAAAATGATAAATTATTGTATACTGCCACCGTACGATCGTATACTTATCACACAGAAGGCTTTGTTATCGTTATTTAAACATTCCATTATATAAATTTCATGGGAACATGAAACATTTATGATATTTCAAAATGATTGATATATAAGCACCAATTACTACATTAGTATGTAGATTGTACACAATATATGATATTAAAAGATACGAATATTTTTATATTGCTTTTAAAGATCAGCGATATGTTACCATTCAATATATTCTGTGTGTGTTATGTCGTATATTGTCATTTTTCCGTTAGAATTCTATCACAAGATACTGTACGTGTGATATAAATAATATATAAGTGTGTAGTAAGATAAATTGTATATAAATAAGAAAAGCACTGCTACATTTTTAAACATGATAATAAGTAGGTTTTATGACGTCGTGTATTATATGGTACAATTAGCCTCAGTAACTTGTAGAAGTTACTATCTCAAATAAATATTATAAACACAAATATTTCTCAATATCACTATTTTCTTTTTCTCCCTTTCTCTCTCGTTTTCTCTAGATTTTAATACATAGCTCGTACATTAACCCTTCACATTATTTTTTAATTAAAAAAAAAAATCTTTCTTCTATTAATTTCAGTTACTTCTCAGAAATGTAATAATTTGCTATTTTACTGTCTCACTTAGAGCTTTTATTATTTTCAATATGTACTTTAAAATAGATGGTAAGTCGCGTTTTACTCGCGCATTATTTTGAGATACTTTATACCTTGAGAATGAGATGGCGCTACAAGTATTAAATTTGGGTTGACTTGCACGCGCGCGTTATGCTATGCGCGTGGAAATAGTAAAGTGTAAATTCGTGAACGAAAAATATACAGGCTACCGTTACGCGTATCTATTTCGTTGTCAATTGAATATATTTTATATAATTTTGGAATTTCTTAACCGTCAATTTAATTATCAAAGTATTTAATCTTAAATTAAAAATGACACAACTTTGCATAATGGAAGCTATTAATCCCCTGCATTGACATTTAATTGGCGAACTCATAAGATATATATTCAAATTCATGTTCGAAGAGAACAAAGGATACATTATAATTTAATTGATATTTATCTTACACAGTTTCGCAGAATTTCTTGAAGGATATCATTATTACAAAATAATAAAGTTAAATTCGATTTGTAATCAACAGCATGCATGTTTGGTTTACAAAAATAGAACGCAGAGAGATGTTAATTCAATGTAAGAAATTAAGATGAATATTTAGAAAGTTGGTCCGAGTCGTGTTTACGATATAAACGAGATATGTAAACGATGAAATCGATGCGAATACAAAACTATCCAGTATCAAATTGTATCCACACAATCAATTGGTATTCTTAATTTCAATAAGCGATGTATTAATTATGTAATCACTTTCAACTGCAGATAAATTATGTACAATAAGTGAATATTAGATAATTAATATGGGCAAATTAATGTGTAAATGTGTATAATAATAATTATAATGTATAGTATGATATAATGTTATGTGTTACATAATTCTCGTAGCTTAATAATTAAAATTAAGAAAAGATTAAACACAGGTAGAATACCGAGATAACTGGATATTAAATAATTCCGAAATAATTCCCAATTTGGGAATCAGAAGCAGTACTACGTTCTCTATAGCGTCAAAGGGTAATATATTATTATAGTATATCGAGACTCCACATTGATTCAAGTTCAACGAAATTTGCAGAATATAGAAGCAAAATTTCGAGCTGGTTACCTGCGAAACGTTTAGAACGCCGCGCAAACATGTGCTTACCGCGTTCGTTGGCCGAGCTTCATAATAGACAAATACTATGCAATTCCCAAACGACCAACTTGTGCGAAACTTTTGCTAAACCTCGGCGAAGCTCGCACGGACGTGCGACTGCGACGGTTGATTTGCGATAGTGTTAAAGCGCGAAAAATGGGCGAAAGGAGCAGTGGGTAGCGATTGGTTGGCGCACGTTCGGAATCGACCGAAAAGCGTAATGCAACGGAGCAATTTGGAACTTTGCGCCAACAAGCTTGTTCTGTATCGTGCGCTCTTGCGCGTCCTACGTACGCGATCTTTTCAAATTTTTCACGAGGCGATTTTTTCCCGATTCCCTTACACACCGAACAAATCGTATTATCACGTTTGTGTCTTTGAAAATTTTGACTCACCGCAAATCCCGTTGATCTCCAACATTGTAAGAACGGGCGATCCGCGAATTCTCGAGAACGTTTAACCGGAGCGTCACTGATTCTGTAAAAGAGGAAGATAATACATGTTTATTGGTATGTATTCTCAAAGTAGACTGGTGCGCGGAATTTGAATGTCGAGTAGACATACACACACACACACACACACACAGATGCGAGCGAGTTGCTCTTTTGCACGATGTTAAATTACGAACTTTCGGGACGTGCGTGCTGCGTGTCTACGTATGTGGACGCGTTTTATACGTTTACGCGGGGCCAAGTGCATTTTCTCGTCGCACGACTGGCACATATAGCCCGAAACAGTTAGCTCCCGTAAATTTAATTACGAGACGCGACCGAAACGGGAGGCCAGCCTCTCTTTTCGTTGGCTAAAATCGTAAATTAGTCTCGGCGCGGTGATTTTCTCGGGAATTACGTGGCTTATCGGCGAATTTTGCCAACTGTAAATTACCAATGCGATCGTATCGCGTCGTATATCGACGCCTTATAGATCAGTAAACATCGGAGCTAATGTAATCCCATCGCGAATCACGCGAATGAGCACGGAGAAAAATGTTTGAACTGAATGGATCAATTTTCTGGCGAAATACGAGCGATTCAAAAATTCCAGTTGAAAATTGAAATCCAGCAAACTTCTGTTTAAGTTAACCAGAGATATTGATGATTTGGATTGAATTTTGATAACTTGAAATAGAATTTTTGTGTCGTTCATATTTCAGTAGAAAATTATTTTCTCCGTGTATATTCTGAGATATTTTGAGCGCAGGGAATTAAATAGAAATTTTCCGTCAATTTTTCACGCCTTTACAATTCCATCGAATTGAGAATTATTCAGCAGCAGCGAACACAAATCGCCGGGGCTTCTAAATTCTTGATTTCGCTCGTTAATTAGAATAATTAGAAAAACGCTGCTGGCATACTTCGCGCTTCATTAACGCGAAAGAGCGAGTGAAATATGAGCGGAATATCTGGTGGCGCGATGTTTTGTTCCATTACGGATTAAACGGTCGGGAAGCTGAAAGACGTTACGCAGCAAATTCCTGTCGACCGACGGCGATGAAGTCGGAGATGAATTGTAATGCGCCATGCATTTCCGCCAACTAAGAGCGACAGCGTAAAAGGGCGTGGAGACAGAGTGTCGCAAATCACCGTACGAAAGTGCTCTTCTACGAAAGCAGACGAGCGTAGTGAAAACCAAACCTAGCCTGACAGTTTTCCCCCTGCCTCCTCTCCTCCCTCTACGTTGACTCACCATCGTACAATTTTCTGAAAAAAGTCGCGCTGTGCGTACACACTGAGCTGATGGCTACCGGATCTCGGCCTTCCTAATGTAATGCTGCACAGTTTTTCGAGCCATCAGAGCTCAGAGCTCGGATCGATGATAACGATACATTATTCATAAACGCTTCCGTGAAAACGCCCTCGATATCCGTGAGATGAGTTTAATTCTAATTTTTGTAAACATGATCATCTTAATTATCATCATGGAGAAGGAGAGGGGAACTTTGGGAAAATTGTCAAATTGATACTTCACGGTAGGATTTCTTCAGTAAGAGAGTCTCTAGCTATCTACTTTAATACACACGACGCGTTCGAAATATATTAGTTCTCCTTCAGCTCGATCGACGGATCTATCACACTCCGATAGTTCCGATAGCTTTATCATAAAGACCCGTGCGCTATCTCTTAGAAGCGTAATGTACGCCACGGCTTTCCGTCGAAAAATGGGATGCACTACTTTTTGAACGGGCGTCCGATCACCGATATGTTTTTCATGGCGGCGGGTTATGACGGGCGATCTGTCACGGTCACCGTAACGGTAACTCCAAGGGGTTGCAAAGGGCTTAATGCCCTCCTCTTGGTAGGGATAACGCAAGAAAGAGCGTGCGTGTGGAGGAGTACGTTACACCATATCAAAATGGCCACAACTTAGGGATCCCGCGCTACCTCCGATATATCATCGTTAGAGAACTTTGGACGGCTTCCTGGTTCCACCATTGATGGCTTCCTCCGATACGACATGATGTATCTGTTCCTCATTGGCGCTGCTCGTGGAAATGAGAATCGGATGCAATTTGAAAGTAAAAGTAGCCGCACTCGAGCGATAACAAAGCGTTCCTCGACTATTTGCCTATCCGTCTTCTGACTCTCATCGGCAGGGATTAGTCGTAGATTAAAGGAATGGACTGATGGTTTCTCGTCTACGTCGCAACGCTACGTCAGTTCCGTCCCTCCCTCTCTCTCCCTCTCTCCCCCAACCCTCTCTCTCTCTCTCTCTCTCTCTCTCTCTCTCTCTCTCTCTCTCCGAAGGGGATTTTCTCGAGGAATAATTTACCGAGCACACGTGTGTACTGCTGACCGCCTTCGTGAATGCGATCAAGATCAAGCAGTAAAAAAGAGTATACGTTGTTACCATCCAACTGAGAGCGTTCCCTCGCGAAATTAACATCGTGAACCGAGTGCGAGCTGCGCTGTGAATTTCCCGCTGTTGATTTACCGACTGTCGCGTGCTTCTTGTCAATTCTCCCGGCTTGCTTCAACCTAATGTCCGTCGGCTAGAAGCTGACGCCCGGTTGCCGAACGTAATGCAACGGATAATGCGGCAAGTTTGCTACCGAGGGATTACGTGACCAGCTCTCAGTTTCGGCTTCCGAGCCTAGGGTACCATCTGTATTGCGGCGCAGTGACGCACCATACTTCTCAGATATTCAGACAACGAGACCAAGTTCCCACCCATTGCTTATGCGCAGCTAAGTAATTTCAATTTGGCATTCGAAGCAATTTGCTAGTTAAGCTCGCCTACGTGCGGCGTCGTAAATTTCCCCTCGAACAAAATAACACACGGGGCACGTAGCGCGCGAAAGTGCGACGAACCGGAGACGTTGCGCGCGTTAATCCTACCGGATGAAAGTTATCGAATTCGAAGTGAGTTTCTCATCGTTCAGCGCGCGAGATCGCGGATCGACTCTCTCCGTCGAGAGCGAATCTGAGACAGCGAATTTGCGAAAAGATCTATTATCGTCGAGAGAGGTAATGACTGACTCGAACGATTAATCTCGTCGTTCTGACGCTTCGTTCTATCGTTAAGACTGTAACTCTCGGACGAACATCCAACTCGGCCTAATCGAGAAAAGAGAGAATGTGACAAATTCGGTCCGATCGATTGAAAGTTAGAGACCACAAAAAAAAAATAGAAATAAAACGGCAAGGCGAAGCGAAAATCTCTTCTCCCCCCCCCCTTTTCAACCCCCTTTTCTACCTCGG